CCCTCCCTCCCTCTCTCTCTCTCTCTCTCTCACACACACACACACTCACACACACACACACACACACACACTTCTTTAACATACATAAATATTCAATAAACAGTGTATTGTCTGGGTAATTTATAATAATAACAATAACAACAATAATCCATAATAACATCTAATTTCTATTTTTATTATCTAACCATTGGTTGAAAGCAGTGTGGGAAGATCACAAATAATGATCACATGACCCCAGGATTCTGCAACCATTGTAAATACATTCCAGTTCTCAGGTGCTCAAATTATCACAAATTTTGTTGTGATAACTATAACTGCGTGAACTGCTTGTAACCACTTTTTTCAGTGCCATTTTAACTTCACACGATGGCTAAATGAATGATTGTAAGATGAAGACTACCCATATATTTCACGTATTGCACTCTTTTGTACAAAATAGAATTCCCTATGCTTATAGGCTTGGAATTCTTGGATATTTTAGAACTGTGTCGCTTGCCGTCAGACCTAGGTATTGCATACAAAATTATACGTAGTAATGCTTTACCTGTAAATGACTTTTTCTGTTTTAATCATGAATAACTGCTTTACACTCAATGTAAATCATTCTGAACTTGACTATAAAAATATGATTTCTGTAATAAAGTTGTCAAAATCTGGAATACGCCGCCTGATCCAGTTGTCTCAGCCTCACATTTTCAGTTTCAGTCACAAATTGACTTCCACGAATTTTACTTCATACTTAAGTGGTCAGTAGATGGGGCGTGCATAAGTGCACTAATGTACCTATGGTTCCTGTCATTGTATTTTTATTTTTTTATTGCCTCGTTTTTGTTTGACAGATTCTAATAAATAAATAAATAAAAATAAATATACACTTTTAAATATATATACTGTATAAGAAAAGGAAGGTAGATTCTACATGAAGATATTAAATATCTGGTGTTTTTTTTTTAATTCAGGTAACTTTATTTTTACCACTCTTTGATGAGGGACACGAAGATGCAGCACAAGTGCTTCATGACATTAGTGATTATAATAGGAGATTCTCGGGACAGCCAAGATCGGTATGTATGGGGCTAGAGTAATTAGAATATATGCCCAATGTTCTGTTTATTATGACAAATGCTGCATTTCCTTATGTGAGTTTGACAAGACTAGCAAGAACAAGTGGAAGGATAATTTCAATATTTTTCTTAACAGTAGCCATTGTTAAGCCATTCGAAGGAAATAAATGGGAATTGTGCCCATTTTTGTCAGTTTCCATCTTCTTCTCTGGTTCACATTGCATAGTACAGCATTGTTGAAGAAGCAGTCTTCGTCTTGATTCAGAGTCCCATGTCATTCAGAGGACGTAGTTAAAAACCATAGTTTTAACCCAATCAGATAAATTTGTGAAATCATAAATAAGATAAAGAATCACCATTAGTAGCAACATTCTTAGCATGTTGTTTAGGATAAAAATATGAGATTTTCTAGAAAAAATACAAGCTTTTGAAATCTAAGGTAGTCTACCAGAATAATCTTTAATTCCCACCCACCCCCAAACTTTAGCAATTCTACCTTTCTGCTATCTCAACAATATAGTGCTTCAACATACAATATCTTTTGCGGGATAATACTATCCATACTGTAGTAATTTATATTACAGAGATATGACTGGTGATTTCAGTTGTTTTTGTTCTGTTTTTGTGGCAATGTGCCACCTGTCATTGCCAAACAGGCTTGCTCAAAAAGTACTAATGTAGTTAGAAGAGATAGCTGTGAGCCAAATGATCTCTAGTCGAAATCTCATGCAGGCCATGAATTTGTTAGGGAATCTTTGACACACTACTGGCAGGCAAGCTCCCTCTGATATTAAACAATTACGATACCAGTCTTTCTTATTTAATGAAGCTGTGAAGATCATTTGGAGAGATACTGCTTGTACCAAATTTATGTTTGTTATTTATTTATTATATAAATTAATTTGCCACCCATCTTCTTTTGAAGCAACTCTGGGTGACTTACATAATAAAAACATTAAAATAATCAGAAATAAATATCTCTAATCCAATAACATGACAATATGCTCTTCTTATTCTATATTCATATGAATATGGTATCTTGAAGTATAAAGGTGATTATGTCTCCTTGATAGCAGTCCTAGCAGAAGCATTTCCTTGCGTGTACATGCACGGAGAGACAATCTTGAATAATCAGCTCAAAACTTTGGGGGATGTGACTACCTTGATACTTAAAAGCTCTAGGGGAGATTCTCCTCAGAAGATTTTGCACAACTGTGTTATTTCAATGTGTTTCGCTTGTTTTATTAGCTTGCCCAACCTTGGTGTTGAGATTCCATGCATTTTTAAAAATTGAGGTTGAGTTCTTATTGACCACTATAGATCATTTATGTTAAAGGTCATGGGGAAAGAAATTTAATGCTCTCTAAAGCAGGGTGGGGAACTATATCCCTTTTATGACTTGTGGACTCCAACTCCCACAATGCCTGAGCCAGCCATCGTTCCTCAACCTCTGCTCTAAAGTGATTTGATTGCACATTAAAAGCTTCAGGTATGGTCTGTTAAATGCTCCTGTGGCAAATTATATCTTGCGCATAAGATAAACAAATTTTGACTCTGTATGTCTTGTTTAGATTATGGAAAGGATTATGGATTTACCTACATTATTGCGTCATGCATTCAGAGAAATGTTTTCTGTCGGTGGTCTCTTCTGGATGTTCCGCATCAGAATATTCCTCTGTCTCCTGGGGGCTTTGTTATATCTTGCATCACCGTTGGACTTTCTACCTGAAGCTTTGTTTGGAATATTAGGATTTTTAGATGATTTTTTTGTTGTTTTTCTGCTACTCATATATATATCTATCATGTACCGAGAATTTGTGACACAGAGACTGAACAGATGAAGACAGATGTCAGTAATTAACATTAAGGTGCATTAAGTGAATTAACTGTTTTGAGAAAACTATTTAGACACAATTTTGGTTATTAAACAGCCTTCGTTTGATCATCTTATGCAATCAAAAAACACAACTTTATTTCAAACATAAGTCAGCATAAGATAACATGAGATTATAAAAGTAAATTATGCAAGCATGAGGAATTAATTCCAAAGTGATTAGGGAACTGAAAATTTGATGTGCGATATTAAAAAAGGTGTAACCCATGCTTATATATGTTTACAGCGGACGAATGAGTAAATGCCATTTAAGCCACCAGCAATGATAAAAGGGAAATTGTCTTGGAATATTTTATTTGCATTAGCTGGACATGTGCTTAAACATTGTTTAATGTTTAATTTCATATTAAATGTAAAGTTTCAAAACTGATTTTAGGTTGTGGGTAAACAGATAAAGGGGATTTAATTTTAAACACAATTGTTTAGAATGTCTGCCTATGCAGGAAATGTTCAAGCAGTGCAGTTATTAAATAAGCTTGTGTTGCATATTGCACCATCAGAGTACATTACAGTGTTGTAACTATGTACAATTATGTGTTGTCTCTATATAATTGCCATGAAATTGCACTGTCCACTGTGGAGAGGATGCTGTCTTCTCCATAACAAATGATTGTATGTAGTAAGGTTTTGCATTGCGATATTCAACATGTTTTTTGTAAAAGTAGAAGTTAGTCTAGCCTAACATGAAGCTATATTATGATACAGTATTAAGCAAAAGTTTAAGTTTAAATTGTAACTGGCTTCTTTAATCAAGTGAAATACTAAATGACATATTAAATAATTGCTGATAGAGCCACTAGCTGGAATCTGAAACTGAATTTTATAGAAAATATACTTGAAATAATAACTGGTAAACGGGACCATAGATATATGGTTATATCATATAACCATAGTTTATATGAAAAGTATATAATCCTTAAGAGTAAACCTCATTGAACATTATAGGCCTTGCTTCTCAATAAGCACACATAATTTCAGATAACAAAATCTTCTGAAGTTACATTTCATAAAACATGCCTTGTTTAAGCCATGCAACACTTCTTGAAGAAAGAGAAAACAACTAACAAACCTACAATGCTGGATCAACTGTAACCTTCCATATTGTGTGAACTGTAACTTCCAGCTTTCCTTGCTATTTGTAGTCCCGGTTTGGACTAATGGAATATAATAACTATAAATTCTCCAGCCTGCTTATACTATTTCATTTCATATCCCAACTGGAAATATACTAACCTGTGAAGAACATGCACTATCTCCTTAGACATATGCAGAACAGTGTCTTTGCTATAAAAAAAAGAAAAAGAAAGAGAATAGGCATAAAAGTGCTTGGGTTATAAAGGGTGCTATAAAACATTTAATCTCCAAAAATATAGATATTGAACACTGAGCTACATGTAGAATGTTCTTAACCCCTTAAGCATCCATGAAATAATTATTTGGGTCTTGCTTTTTAGCAAATGCCTGCAGGGAATGAAAACTTTATTTTAAGTTAATAAATATAACATTTTTTTAAAAAAAGAAGAAGACGTGAAGACCAGGTAGTGCCCATTTCTGGTCTGAATTCTCTGGCAATGTTGTCATGAAGACTTATATTGAATTTAAAATTACTATTAGCCAGATTTTTATTATTTTTATTTATATCCCACTTTTATTTTTATAAACAACTCAAGTCATTGAATATATCTAATACCTATTCCTCCTCCCATTTTCCCACAACACTCAACACTTTTGTTCTCATTTAAAACTGAATTTTGAATACTGCTTTAATGTTGAATATTGATTAATTTTAAACATTTAAATACCAACCCAATTCTAAAGTATGATTAACGGAGGGGATAATTGATAGTCGGAGAGGAGGCAATGTTTACGTCTTATTTCCAATCATATAGTTACAGTTAGAGAAGAGGAAACATTGTGTGCATTAACATTGACTTTAAAAAAATCCAAGACTTTCAATTTGATGAAATTATTGCCAAAGAAATCTCCCATTATTAACAAGCTTAGTTGATACAACAATAATCTTTTTCATATACTCTATATAAAGACTGGATTTGAAATGCCATTTGGTTTTTGCTTCCATTTCTATGCAGGAGTTCCAAGTGCCAATATCAACAAATGAGTATGTTGGAATGTACATAATTGAGTACATTTGAGTAGTAATTTTTGTAAAATGGACTCTCTCAGAATGCTGAATGTGACCATGGTCTAAGTTTTCTTTAAAAATATGGAACCATTTTCATTATTTCTATAAACATATGTCTTAAATTTTCAAAGTTATGTTTGGAGAACATGTTTGAATGCATCTGCTCCATATTAAAACTTATAGCAACTTGTTCTATCCATGTTTGAACTGAAGAAAAGGGAACATGATACAATAATTTAGAAAAAGAAGGTACTTTTATACTAAACCTTTTAATACTTCACTCACTCCCTTGTCCTCAATGGCATCTTGACACACTCAGGCTTACTCAGGTAAAATTCTAGCATGATGTGAATTTTGAATGAGGTAAATTTGGCAAGTACCAATCCTGTGTTTCAAGGGCAGGAAAGTTAGAGTCATAAGTTATGAAACATAGAATCTTGATCTTGTATATATGTTTACAAAGAAGAATTATCTTCCATCTTATTTTAAAGGCCTTCATGTGATGTAAGTGAAGAGTCAAAGTAATTAGCTACTTATTGCTTTCTGTTTTTAGTTTCATTTTTGGTTAAATTGAGGCATTTATTATGCTGAGCAAAATAGCTATAATTACAAATAGAGCTTTAATACCCTACTTTTTTCTGTACTGATGTTTTTCTTGTACTCTGGTCAACAAATGTCCTCTAACAGAATTTTGGGATACATCCCCAGTGAGGCAGCAATCAGTACCACATAATACAGCTCTAATATGGCTTCTTCGATTTTAACTGAGTGTGCTATGTTGGCCTAGCTCCAGATAATTCAGTAAATATTTGTTCAATAAAGCATGGCATAACAAATTGTCCTCATGCAATGTATGAACCCAGCATGGGTGTTCTAATGATGCGCTGAGGAGTCAGTTCAGTTGATATGCTTTCCAATTGGTGACAGTTTAGAACTTTTTTCTGGGAATTTTTCTAAGAAATCTTTCATCTCATGCACACAGTTTAGGATAGCCCTCTCAACCTAGTTCCTTCCAGATTTTGGCAGGGATTGGGAAAGACAAAGAATAAGCTTTCCTATTATATTTTTCCTTTGCTTGTACCCACCTTCCAACATACACCCAGGTTGAATCTATAGAAAGAATGTTTCTGTTTACATTGACTATTAACATATAGTTAACTAAACCAGTCTCTGATTGTTAAGAATTTGTCAAAAAGTATCATAATGCCTCTAATGCAGTTGTAATATAGAAATAGTCACACAATTTTGCATTACCTCAGATGAGAACAGTTGCTTTTATTTTGCAAGGTGAAAATAGCTAGATTTGCTTGTAATTCCTCTGTCAAATCTTTAGATACAATGATCTAATCTCACTTTATATGCTGCCTACAGATTTAAATAGGTACCACCATATACCTATTGCACTAATTTCTAAAAGGAATTGAGATTCTGTATACAAAGGGGATTCAATCACCAGTTTATATGCAGTAATCAAATGTCACATACAAATTTAGTTTTACATTATGTGATTTAGAACTTTTTTTTTCCTTTTAAAAATATTGCCCATTCAGGCTTTGTTTTCAGGATGGATTGTACATTTTATGGCTCTGAAATCCTAGTATTGTTATTGTATGGCATTATTACATTAGCCAGGAGATCACAATGTTATTGCAGAGTAGTAGATTGGCTTGTGAATTTACCAGCTCTGTTCTAGTACATGCTTGTGTGCTTCCCAAAGTGCGCCATAGCAGGGCGAGCTGGCTTTGCACCAGAAAGAAAGACCAGCAGCTCTTCCTGCAACTTCATCCAAGTTCCTCATCCTCCTTTCCCCGGAGCCACCTCGTAAATAGGAAGGAAGGTTCAGCACCAGCAGGAATCTAACTGCCTGAACAGAATATCAACTTGTCACCCGACCAAAATGGTACCTATTTGCCTAGTCGCATAGAACATGTTTCCAAATTGTTAGGTGGACAGAAGCTGAGGCGAGCTGATGGGTGCTCACTCTGCTACACAGTGCTAGGACTCGAACCGCTGGAGCAGAGACCATCTCCAGTGTCATTAAGCCGTCGAACCACCGCGCCTCTTCTGAAATCCTAGTTTATTAATCAGACTTATACAAACATTGGTTTAAGCTATACAGCCACTCTTTTTAGAAAATGTTTTCAAGATAAAATATTTAATGGAAAATCTGTACAGATAGTGCTCGATTTATTACCATAGTTGAGTCCAAAATTTCTGTTGCTAAGCAAAATAGTTGTTATGTGAGTTTTGCCCCATTTTACAACCTTTTATACCAGAGTTTAGTAAATAATTTGGTTATTAAACGACTTTGCTTGTCGGAAGCCAGGTGGGAAGATTACAAATGGTGATCACTTTACTTTGGGACAGTGCAACTGACATAAATACATGCCATTTTCCAGGCCCCCAAATTTTGATCAAATGACCAAGGGGATGCTGCAATAGTAAGTGTGAAAAATGGTCATAAGACACTTTTTTCAGTACCGTTGTAACTTTGAACAGTCACTAAACAAATGGTTGTAAGTCAAGGACTATCTGTAATCGCATCATGCTATCTAGTTTAAACCACAGTATTTTAAAACAAGTCTGCTATCTATTGATCTTGTAATTAAAAACAGTACTGTACATTGGAATTATGCTAAAATGAGTTTAAGGAAGAATTATACTACAATACTATCTATATTCAAAGAAGGGCAAACTCCACTGAATATACTGAGTAGGCATATATTATTATATTACAGTATTAGAATCTAAACTTGCTCAAGAGACCTGAGGCTGTGGATTACATACTATTACATATCTTTTGTAGAAAAATCTAAGCTAATTTTTGTTTTTATTGTAATAAAACCATATCTGAAATAAGAAATGTACTCTGGCAATTTATTTTCCTATCATAGTTTTGCATTCTCTATTTTTTAAATAATAGTTATAATTTTATTAAGACTTTTAAAAACAAAGATTAAAAGTTAATATAAATTAGCGAAGATAAAAAGCTAAAAATGCAAGAAACAAAAAAGTCAAATGCTGAAAAAAAATACAAAGAAGTGGCTTCCAATCTTTTTTACAGCAGTTATAACTATAATTCTAAATTTACTTCCTTTCCTCAAATTAAATCATTACTCTCTTCTTTCTATGATATATTCTGCCTACTCAGAAAAACCACAAATCATAAGTTTTTCTGTTTTA